CGAGCAGGGCCGCCAGATCCTTCGAGTTCGTGGGGGCCGGGGCGGTGGTCGTGGCGGGTGGCGCGTTCAGCATCTCGAGGATCGTGCTCGCACGCATGCCGACCCCCACGATGTAGGTCGTCGTCGTCCCCATATTAATCGGGAGAGGCCACTGCCGTAGAAACGTAAACGACGACGGCAAAAAGCCGTGAACCATCAGCAGAGGAAGCTGGAGCGGGAAGGAGGCCTCGTTCAACGTCCCTGTCTGCGCACTCCGAGCATTATTATTAGTATTACTATTCCGTTTAATTAAACCGATCTGCATCGTGCAGTGCTTTTGAAGGGGGTGGCATGGCGTGAGGTACTTCGCTGCGCAGCTCACGGCGAGATCGCAGGAGTGTTGCGTTTTTCGCTTCGAAAACCCGCTCCACGCGCTGATCGCCGCGATTAGGATATGCGCGTAGACTAAATGCATCGCGGCGAACTCAACGACGGCGCTGCCCACCAACAACTCCCCCTCATCCGCGTAAAAATGGTCGTCCGTGATCGTGACGGCGCGGGTCTCAGCCCAGTTTAAATAACCCTGCGCGAGTTCCACGCAGCGGGCGATAACCTCCACGGCGTCCTCGAAGTGCCCTGTTATCGTGAACATCACCGCGAGGTTGTAGAGGATGACCGTGCAGAGCACCCCGCCCGAAGCCACCAACGCGTGCAGAAGAAGGGCCACCACCTCTGTACTCGACCGATGCATCGCCCGCCAATGTGCGGCGAGGTTATTCAACAAAATACCCCGCAGGACGCCAGGAAGCGCCCGTGGACAGCCCGCCGCCCGCCATGGCGAAAAAGAAGGAAAGGAGGCGACCCCCCTTCCTTCCACGGCCTCCGTGGAGTTGGGTGGGAGCGAGAGGACGCAATGCAGGGCGCGCTCGAAGAGCTCCTGAGTGGTTTCCAGCGGCCCCACCGTCTCGCTGCTCCGCACCGCCTCGCAGTTGAGCAAAAACACGTACTCCTCCACGCAGCGCCAGAGCGGCTCAATCGATTTGAGATCCCTAAACGGGCACCCTTTCGTCCTCATGCGACACTGCTGGTGGAGCTTAAGAGCGCTTTCTAGGTCCGCCAGGGCTTTGTGGGAGGTCCCACTTCGGCCGCCGAGCGTCTCCCTCGCCCGCTGGCGGAGCTCAACGCATTGGGAAAGCCAGACCTCCTCGGGAGGGGGCTCATCAACTTGATCGAGTGAGATGGTGGATGCTGCAGGTTTATGGGAGTCCGCTTGTTTACGCGAGGGTAAAAGCTCCATGGAGTTTTTTTTCTGCGATGATGAAAGCGGGCCAAATTTCGTGGTGGCATCTATGGAATTTAGATGTGCCACTGAGGGCTTGGCGTTCCGTTGCCGCTGCATTTTTGAAGATGATGAAAAAGCGTAGTTATAAGACATGGTGCCTTCCAAAAACAATCGCTGGTTTCTCTTTGACGAACCTTTCTATCGGATGGGTTCGGGCGTTGTTCCCCCTAGTTTAAGTCGACTTCAAGAGGGCAAGATCAATATTTTGATTGTCTAATTGACTCTTGAGGCACCGCTCTCCTATAGCAAGTCGGGGCCACAAAAGAAAACAAGCAACTTAAACTACGCGCCGTTGTCTGATTCCTGGCAACGGCGATATCAATTATCCAAGAAACAATGAAGAGAAGAAAGGAAGGAGCGTGGTGAAAGAAGGAGCAACAAGAATTTTAAAGCATTGTATTTCCAACTGTACCACAGTTCCAAGCATCTAGAGAATTTAATTCAGGGAAATGATATAAAAATCGGATATTCCAAGAACATTCCTTTTTTCCACCCTGCCCTCTCTATCTCGGAAGGAAACACACATGCCAACGCAGTCATCCACAGTCTTTAGAGTCAATCGGAGCACCGGGGAACCCCTCTTCACAGTCTCTTACAACAGAAAAAGGCTCAGGAAAGGCCAAACATTCTGTAAGAGTTACTCTTTTATGAGTCTCCCGTTCTCCTATTGCTTGTATTAGTGATGGGGTGGATTCCATGCCCACTGCGCGACCTCGATAGCCATCGTGATGAGCGGTTTATAATCAATCGTGGCATTGATCCACGACGTCGGGATCCGCCGAATGCCGAACCTCCCGCCTAGCAAAGCCCCTACTAGCATCGTCCGGTGGCAAATCACACTTCCACTCCCTCCTCCATCTTTTCTTCTGCTGGTTTGCTCTCCACCCGCCTGCACTGCCCGCACCACGCCCTCCATAAAGCTTCTCGACATCCGAGCAATCGTAAACGCCTCCCGTACAATTCCTGCATCGTACAGAGTAGGTCGTGCAGGAAATATGCACACTTCCTTCTCTTCTGCAAAGGACGCCGTAGGGAGTGAGGCTCTGGCACGGTAAAGATCCAAACGCTCCTGACGGAGCTCTTTCCAGCGTCTAAACTTATCCAAACTAATATTATGAGTATTTATATTATTCGTTCCATCACTTCCAGTATTTAAAGAATCCTTTCCAAGTGGAGGGCAAAAGACTGCGTTCGTTGGGGTGAAGATATCAGCTGTTCCTGGAATCGCCATAAAAGCGGCATTCCGCTCGGGATCGGGGATGCTTTGCAGGACACGAAGCACCACCCCGAGAGCACTTTTCGTGAAATTGCGAACGGCTTCCCGCTCGGCATGCGCAAGCTCGTCAAAATCGTCCACATTTCCCTCCAAATCAGAGGAATAAGAAGGAGGCGGGGTGGTGAGAGAATCGATAAAAGGGTCCACATATGCCCGCAGCGCTTCATCGCTGGCGTACGGGTAGATCGTGGGAATGGATAATAGCGTGCAGAGCGTGTGCAGAAAAGAGCCGTGGTGTTGAGCGAAAACGAGCGTCGGGTGCACACGATGGGAGGCTTTGATCCATAGCGGTTCCACAAAGGAAACAGGAAACTCTCCCCTTGCCGCACTCATCGTACGCAGTAGTGCGAAAAATAGCATATAGCTAAAGGAATGGTCGAAAAGAGGATTACGCCCACGCTGCTGGCGAAGTTCGAGCAAACCCTCCTCGCTCAGCGCGAGGTCACCGCGGAAATTCTCTTCTTGAATGTCTGAAAACACCACAGAAGATTCCTCGTAAAGATTGGATTTACTAACACTTGAAATAGAGTCACTTTCATCCCGATTTTCCAAAGCGAGGATTTCATCGGCGCTAAAGCCCTCTAACGCTCGAGCAGCAGCATCCGCTACGCTCGCACCTACGATCAAGCCAACTTGCTTTTGCTGAATATCACTCAGCTGTTTAAAGCTGTTTTCGTAAAAATTTGTCGCCACAGGTTTCGGGCTGTGCGAAATTAAAGATACCATATTGGGATATCCATATATAGATATATATGGGTTCTGTTTCCCTTTATGTACCTTTTTTATCTCTTCTTTTTATGAATAAATTGTATCGGCAATTTTGACTACCTCAGATCTTACCAAAGATTTATGGTTTATTTTCCCTGTATTTATTTCCTGTGGTTATGGAAACCCCGAAAATGGAAGGGAAAATCAAACAAAGAGAATGAGAGGATATAATGTAAGTTATGACGCGGTTAAATTTATGAGATGCGACATTTTTTCATTCGTAGCTGCAGGAACGCATCATTGATAACAAGAAGACCTTGACCTGGGAAGCATTAAGAATATATATATGTATATATATATATATATAAGTCCTCAACAACAGAAAACTAGGCTATATCAGAACAATGTAAAGAAAAAATGGATGCTGCTCAACCACGAATTTCTTGTTTGAAGACGGTACCCAAAATCATTAAATAAAGTGCCATGTTAATAGAAAGATTTTTTTGCTGTGGAAGTATGACAAACATAACCTGAAATAATGCGCACACATATTTAACGAGAATATTTCTAATAAACGAGACTGTAGACCCCCCTTGTGGAAAGCTTCTTCCTTCCTTCCACTAATACGGAATAATCCACTCTTTCCACTCCTTTTGGGAGAAATATTTTACCATGCATTTATGGTCATAACTTCATCTCTCTCATTTCTTAGAATAGTATGATTGGATGTCTATAAAGGGAGAAAAAAAGAGTATTACTATGGTCATATCTTGGTGTATCTTTTGAAGTCACAACGCCGAGGTAGAGCGTTATCCAAACGCGCTAATAAACTCTTTTCGTTACAGGATCAAGAACTATTTATGAAAACGCAAGCTTCATATTTATTATTTTTTGAAAAGTAAATAAATCAATAAATAAGGGTGTAAGATAACGACCACCAAAGCAACTTCTAATGAATTAAGTAAAACTCCTTAACATCAAAGAAGAGCAACAGGTTGATCCAAACTTCAACGGAATATTGAAAATGAATCAAAAATGATAATATCTAAAAGTAAGAAGGCTTTCTTTAAAGAACAAAGAAACTCTTCGAAAACAGAATATGTAATGGCAGGTATTCCACCTGGAAACCCTATCGCTCCTTTTTTATTGCTTCACTCTTTGCGTGCGTATTGCCCGATAATCTCATCCATTGCTTTTTCAGGATCCTCGTACTTGCTAAGGCGCTGCTGACGTGCTAAGCTCTCCACAATCATACGCATCTCACTCAATTCTTGACGGAGCTCCAGGACCTCCCGGGAAAGAGCTCTTACCTCTTGACGATAGCTATTCTTCTCCGCAAATTTAGCACGCCCTAAAGAACCCCGCCCGCAACGCTGTAAAAGGAGAATATAAGGCGTGATCGAGTCCACAAAAGTATCGTACCCAATTTTTAATTCCCGCCATGATTTACGCGCGCGATAACCGCGGAAAATGCGTTGAATGGTGATTGCCGCACGGCGCTGCTCACGGGCAGCCATCGCGCGGAGCTCATCGAAGTCGCCCCACATCGGCATCATCATAGCCTGCAGAGTGCGCATGGTATCCAATACTTCGCTAATTCCAGCTACGTAGTTCCTCGAATGCGCATTATCCCCGTTATCCCCTTCTTTGGAAGTGAGGTTTAAAACCGCTGTATTCTGATGAAGAGACGCTGTGGAAGAACGAGACATACAGGGGATCCCTCCGGATGAAGTCATCCCCTGAGGATGGTTTGGACTATGAAGGTTGCGCAACGTTGGTGCTCGATAGGAACGCCATTTCACCCGTGCCATTCGCTCGCGGATTACCTGGAGGCGCTCGCGTTCCTCATCCGATAAATGCCGCCAGACAAGCACGCGGCGAAGATGGCGCTGAATTGTCCTTGCCGCGTGATTTCGCCGCGCGATGTCGTGCCGCCATAGAACCTCCACCACCTCCGAAAGTGTGCGCAGCTTATGTTGGATGGCACGCACGATCTCGGTAAGCGGCGCGGCGCCGTTCGCCCGAAACGCCCCCTCGGAACTCTGCCGCGGGACGACGGAGTCGGCGATCAGCGAACGCTTGGTCCTTCCCGTTCTCGCACTCCCTCGTGCGGAGGTGGTTGCGATTGTGCCCCCGCCTCCCCCTTGTAAGAGGGGGAAATAGCCCTTGGCGTGCTCCCAGAGATAGCCCAGGAGCTCCCGCTGGAAGCCCGGGTTCATCAGCCGCAACAGGGGCTTCGAGAGGACCCCGCGCTCGCGAAAGAGCCCGAGGGCGGCCTTCTGCTCCCAACGCGCGTAAAGGGCCCCGTCGAGGTGGGTGGTGAAGGGCAGCAGCCACAGCGTGAAGGGACGCCACCAGGGGAAGAGCGCGAGGGCCCCGGGCTCATCTGGCTTCACCATCATCTGAAAGGGATTCCCAGCCAGCTCGAGATGGCGAAGCCGGGAGGCCAGGGCGGAGAGCCCAAGCAGATCACTTACACTCAACAGGCGATTGTGCGAGAGGGCGAGGGTGTGCAGGGTGAGTAAGGGCAGCTTCCCGTCAATGCCGCTCAGGTCCTCAATGCTGTTATGACTGAGGTTCAACACCTGGAGGTTGAGCATATCGCGCAGGTCCGGTAGATCAATAAGGTTGTTGTGTGAGAGGTTAAGCGTGGTGATTTTGAACGTACCCATCGCAAGATCGTTGTTCGTCAGAGTCCGTTTTGGCTTGTCATTAGGAGAAACGTTTAGGTCAATCAGCATAATTCGATTATGCGATAAATCAACGTCTTTTAACCGCACAAGACAACGCAAAAGAGAAGCAGAATGAGAATCAATTACATGGATCGAGTTATGGCTGAGGTTAAGCACTTCGAGCGCGATAAAGGATTCGATTCCCTGCAGAGAACTAATCTGATTGTGTGAAGCATCCAGCGTTGCAATGTCCTGAACTATCGAACTGAGCGAGGACTCAGGACCGATAATAAGAGAAGTGAGATCTAGTTGACAAGCTCGCAAAGAGCGTGTGTGTGCGAAAGTGGTAAGATTAAAACTGCTTGGCAGGGTCACATCACCAAGCGTTCTTCGCCTCTTGGATGCTGTAGAGGTATCTATTATATCGTTAACTATATTCATTCTATATTGTCGCCTTATTTCCGTAAGAGGGTAGAAGGAGAAGTGCTTTTGCTCTACCCTATCCAATAATTCGATACTAGGAATTGTATATTTTTATTTATATTGTATAATTTCTAAATAACTTTGAAGTGAAGGAAAAGAGGAGTGCACCGCCTCTACGATTTTATTTGTATGCACCAACCGTTCTTTAAGAGCTTGATCCATGCTAGAAAGAAAAAGACGCCGATAAAAGGACAAAAAAAAATAGCGTAATGAAGCGAGAACATAAAGCTACCACTTGAACTAAACTTTTAGAGCAATGATTAATGTAGAATCACGCAAAAAGCTCAACACCAAAAGAAGCCCCAACATTTTATTGGAAACATTACAGAAAACACCAAAACGCTGGAAAAGGGAGAGCAGATCAGCGCCTATTAAATTTATCTGGAAATCGCATAGAATTTTTAGTTAGAATCATCTTCTTCTGCTCGATTGGTGTATATATGTGCATGTTAATACTTACGTTCACAGCATCATTCTTCCCTACTGTACAGGTTAAGATGTGAGTGCATGCGTCAATGCAAGCCGCCTCCTTTAACCCCATATTCGACCCTCGTTAAAAAATGAGAAAAATACACATCTAGTTAAATGATGAAATCTACCTTTTGTGTAAAAAAAGCTTTTCGTTACCCCACTTTGATTTTTTTCAAATTTCTATACAAGAACTTCTAGCTCATGCCGCTCAAAAGTGTGCTTTTCATCATTAGCCACACGCGGATAGTACGGTACCAGCCCTTCAGGGCTGCTGATGTAAATCATATTATACGTACGGCGGTAAATATCACGCACCTTCTTCGCTGGATGAAAGAGACCCTGCAATAAGTAGTGCAATAGTCTTCCACTACCGAGCACGAGCCTTGAGGCCTCGTAATAACTTACTACAGCAGTTACCATCTTCAGCCGTTCATCCGATATGTGCGTTTCGTTCTTGGAAAGCAACTCCACGATGTTAGGGTGGATGAAATTAAGTAAATGGATCGCAACGTCCTCGAAATCGTTCTGTCCGGCAACGGATAAAATAACGGCCTGACAGGCTTCTACAGCCATACGCCGCATTTGAATGCTGGTTTCCGTCAGAGAGCGCTCAAAGAGCGGAATCAAGGTATGTACGTAATCCCGGCCGACAGGGCCGATGCTCTGAAAGATATAGCGAATAGTCTTTAAAATGGCATGCTGAACGATAACAGCGACCTGCTTTCCCTCACTTAGCTTATATTCGTTAAGGAGATACGGAATGACGGTAAATGGACCGCATTCCTTCGCAATCGACGCCAACGCTACCGCCGTACAAACACGAATCTTCCGCTTATCTTGACTAAGCTGATCCACAAGCTCGAGGATAATCGCGAAAGGACGAATAACGCGGGCGATAACCCCAAAAGTTCGCGTACACGCCCGCCGTGTTTCCCGACGCTCAGCGTCAAGCAGCTCAAACAACCCTTTAGTCGCCAATTCGTAGAGATGAATCGCCTCGACGTCGTCTTCGTGGTGCGTGGCAATATCCTCAATGAGCGCGATGGCGCTCTGCTGAACAATATTATAACGGTTCTTTATCACAAAGGTCAGCTTCTTCAGGAGCTCACGGACGGAGGGCTTGTAGCTTCGTGAGCCGAGCTCCTGTAAAAGAGCACGGGTTGCGCGCAAATTCGCGCTCAAGGCAAGCGCGTTGTCATCTTCTAAACGTTCATACAAACTGCGGCCGACATCTTGCAAGAAAATGGTGCCTTCCGCGAGCACTACAGTATGCGCAATGCTCGCGATAAGCCCCGCGGCCTGCGCACGCACCGCCGCCTCTCGGCTCTCCCGGCGACGATTAATTAAATCAAAAATCTGCTTCAAATACGGGCGCAGCCGCGAGCCAAGGGAATTGCAAATTGACGTCAACCCCGCGGAGAAGACGCGATTCGTGCCGATCTCATCTTGCCGGACTGCGGCGATCGCACCATCCAACAAAAAGGCTACTAAGGAATCCTCTGCGGCTGCCGTACCTGCGGCCTCGATTACGCACCGCACGGCAGTAATCACCATGCGTTGGTAGTGCTCGTTCTCATCTTTCATATCCCGTACGAGTTTTAGCAGGATATCCACGCTACCGAGCTTCTTCGCGAACTGCACAGTTGTCTCGATGAGAATGGTGGAGGTCTTGCGATCGGCAGCGACTTGACGAATCTGCCAAAATCCCTCAAAGAAAGGCTCCAAAATCACCTCGCGTATGAACGCGGCGGTGACACCATCCGCGGAAACACAATTCCGCACGACTTGCAGGAGCACTCGACGATACTCCGCCTCTGGGGTGTTAAATTGGTTCACAAGCGTTGGCATCATCGCGGAGGTCCGCGCCTCGGCGTCGTACGGCGCCATCAAGGGCACCAACGAGCCGAAGGCTTTTAAATACGGCGCGGTTGAGATTCCTATGCCTTTTCGACAAACCTCCGTAATCACTTCGACAACGGGCGCGAGGTCTTGAATGCCATACGGTGCCACCGCCTCGGCCACGCTCGCCACCGCTAACGCCGCGTCGTTCCGCACACGCTTTTCATCGCGTATAAGCCGCTCGAGAATGGCGACGACTTCAGGAAGGGAGGGCATCATCCCATGCCCGACGAGCCCGGCAAGCTCCGAAAGCACGCGGGCCACAGTCTGTCGCGCGAGCGCCGTTGGCGCGTATGATAAATCGCGCAGCGCCGGGAGAAGCTCCTCCACACCGACCGCAAACCCCACTAACGCCGCCACATTCGCCGTGTGTCGCCGTACGATGCTTTCCTCATGCGCAAAATCCACTTTAATCGCATGAAATATCGCTTTATACCCTACGACGCGCGTAAGAAGCAGCAAAACCTGCCGACCATCCTCTCGCGTGGTGGGTTCCTGCGCGGAGAGCAGCGGCTCCATGAGGTGAATCACCTCTTTCGTGGAGCCCCGCACCCCGGTGCCGAGATGGGAAATAAGAGCCTTAATAAAGTCAATAAAATTATGAGTTTCCCTCAACCCCATAATGTTCGCACTCCAAATCGTGAACATCCGCTGGAGAATGAAGTTGATCCCGAGAAAACGGGACTTTTCAAGAAGAAAGTTTGTTCCACTGCGACGCTGGCCAGTGTCGCCGTTCATAATCTTAAACAGGTTTTTCATCAAGAGATAAGAAGGGAGGTCGTCATCGGGAATGGTATCAACGTTATGATACTTGAGGAGCTCTACAAAAACCGCTGCATCCTCCGGGCGCATACTTGGCATTCCCTCACCGAGGTTTTCTGGAATATCGTAAACCGCCAACGGGTCGGTCGAAGCGACGCCTATACCGTCTCCGTTGGGAACTTCTCCATGCAAATTTCCAGCAAGTCCTGACGCTAACATATCCGCATTCATCGCTTCTCTTGCCATAATATAGAAATTGGGTTCCTCTGGCGGGGGAGGGTTGTAATCGGCTGGAATGGGAACGACGGAAAAGTATTCTGTCGGCAACATGTTATCCAGATATTCTGCGGTAAGGCGCCTGTTCTTTTGACGCCACTCACGCTCGAGCTTTTTAGCGCGCAACTCGATCGCGGCGGTGGAGGCCGCCTGACTATCCGCCGTCGCGAAATGTGACTGTTTAGGTGTGGTGCCCTCAAACTGGTAATTCGGCGTCTGCGCGAAGGCGACGCCGGCGGAAGGGGTGACCCCTCCTGCCATGAACGGCGTGGCACCGCCGATAAAGGCGGGGGTGACCCCGCCAGCACCGCCCCCCGTCGCCATCCGCATCATCGACGGCGTTCCGCCGCCGTCCCCTCCCCCTGCCGTCGCCGTGGGGGTGGCCATCATCAGCGGGGTGCTGCCGCCGCCAAAGCGGGGGGTTGGAACAGTATCGCCCGCGTATTGCGTGGCCGTCGGCGTCGCCATCCCACGCCAAGTCGACTGCTCCGCGGTCAGCGCGGTCAGCACCCGCGGCGTCTCAGAGCCGTACTGGCGGGGCGTCATCGCGCTCCACCGCGTCCGCGTTGTCGAGGCGCCGCCGCCGCCGCTTCCCCCCAGCCCCTCCCAGCGGTGTTTCTTCGCGGCCTGCGCATCCTCCTCCCCAACGGACATCGTCTGGCCAAAGGGAAGGGTGCTTGGAATGGAATAACTCCCCACACACGGACACGCACAGGAAAATGGGTGTGTGAAAAAAGAAGCCCAAGACTTGTTACAGACCTCCTAACTAATAACAATAATAAAGAGATGTATACTTGGGGGGGAGGGAGGTTGAGCTACACAAGAATGCTTTTCTCAAAAAGAAAGGGTTGGATTTTCGGGAAAAGAAGGAATGCACGATTACCATAGTTTGAGGGATACATACAGGAAGAAGATGGAATTATCAAGGATTTTGAGATCGGCTACAAATCAAAAAATTGATCGGATATTCCCAGCCCACTAATGCATCAATACACACATACCAATTAATAAAAACAATTAAGACCACACCGAACAGGATAATAAGTAATCTATCAATATCTGAGGGTGTCTTTCTCGCATAATCTCCAATGGTAAGGTTTCTATAAGCGCCTTGTCGTACTGCACACGGACATAAATACGGCGCATCGCAGAGTCCGGCCCACCCTCATGACCGCTCTTCACTTCTTGTGTATTACCACTTCCAGTGGGGCTATCACTTCGCTTTAGAGGTACTTTTTCACCTTCCATTGAAGTCGATGACATATTTTTTACAGAATTCCCCCCATTCTTGGCGTCATTTGACAGCCGCCTACGTTTGTGAGGTGGATCGTCTTCATTATTCTCTGCTTTATCTATACCCACAGAGGGCTCTTTAGTGGTGTCCAAAGAGCCCCGCACTAAACTCACTGTCGATGTGGAAGGTTGGTGAGCCGGCTGTTTTGTCGTAGAGCATAAAAGCGCTAAAATCTTCACCGATGATGAAGTAAGAAGTGTTGATAAAGGAGAATTGTTGTTGGCAAAATACTGTGTATGTGCGGTAGAGCAACCAGCCTTTGGAACGTGTTTCGCAAAGGGAAGATACGGAAAGGCACGAGAGTGTGAAAGATATCCTAGAACGTCGTCCTCGGTTAAATTTGACATTAAAAAGGTGAAAATAACAAGAAACTATTACACGTTATCTTGATTGATATTATCTGAACTATGACTTATCAATTTAAAAAGTTTTAACGAAAAGGAATAGGAAAATTAGGTTGAGTATAGAAATCACATTCTTTGAGAAAAAACTCCACCTCCGCTCTATCGCAAGCTATAAAGGAGCAAAAATAAATGTAAAAAAAGAATATTAATAATAATCTAGAATGAGAACATAATAAAAGCAAATAATTACGTCGGCATAACTTTCATCATCGGCTTTTTACTTACGCTTTTGGCGAACCTGGCGGGTGGCAACCGTGTTGTTCTGTGAGACGTAGCGCGGCACGCCCACCTCCATGCGCTGGAGCATCATCCAGGTGTTCTTGTCCACCTTGATGCCATCCCGGATTGCCTGATCCACGGCTGAGACTAACGGCACGTAGTCCATCCGGCGCTCGCGCTCCTCCTCCTGGAGTTTGAGCGAAATCCCGCGTACGGGACCACGGGCCAGACGCTTCATGATGTGCGTGGCGTAGCCCGCGATCTTGTTCTTTAACTTCTTCGAACGCGCAATGGTGACATCCATCACAACGCACTTGTTCTGGTAGAAGTCGCGGTTCAGCTTCGCGAAGTACTTCTCCACCACCTGGCGAGACGCGCGCTTCACCGTCTTGGTCCGGATCTTACCCATGATGAGTACTTGGTAATATCTTTCATTCAAACAAAAGGAGATAAAAAGAAAAATAGTGAATTATCATAGAAAAAAGGTATTTCAAATTCTGTTACAATGAGGTATTCCAACCCCAAAAGAAATTAAGGTCACCTTAAACCGAATTAAGGTTGTCTAAACACCGCTTAGCGTACTTTTTTTTTCTTTAAAAGGTCATTGAAATACGCTATTACTCATCTTTAGAATGAAAGCATTAAATTTAAACTGAGCAGGAAGTTATCAAGAGGTTTTATGGATAGATTTCATAACTTTAAATCAACCCTGACTGGAGCGAATGCAACAATTTACAATATCACGCCTTTAGTGAAATGGTGCTTCTGTGGTAAAGTAAAGCAGAATGTGGCAAGTGTAAAAGGCGTAGGTGCAGAACCCCCCCCTCCCCCCCTGTGTTCTGAAAAACTATCATTAACACATTAACAAGTTTAAAGACATCAGTTGTAAAAACTTTGGAGATATTTGAGGTAGAAAAGCGGTGATGAGTAGGTCATTTGCGAGCATCGCAGCGCCAAAAGAAGAAGAAAAATGTTGATATAACGTCAGTTGAGATAACAACTAAATTTGTGTGTTTGGAAAATAAAATGCTAAATACAATCTATTACAGTAGCATCTTCCAAGCCACATATAGTAAGAATAAGCTTGAAAGAACAACTAATGCAATGATTTTAATAGCAGAAAAAGTAAAGGGATGAAGGATTATAACCAGATCCTTGGTGCTGACTAGTTCCAAAATGCGGTAAATCAGACCCCATCACTAAAAAAATAAGATCGAAAGAATAAAACCTTTGAGGCTAAGTAACCTTCTCATTTGACTCTTACAATATGACTTTAAAGGGAAAGAAAAAACTTCCACATTCGAATAAAAGACTTGCTAAATAATGGGTGGGGGAAGTGATAAAAGTGTTTGAAACCTATATTACATCGTGGCAGACTCATCATTTTTTTTGTTGAGGTTACATGGATGTTTTGTTTAAACAACGAAAGCAAAATAAAGAGAAACGGAACCTAGCGAACAATTAAACCAAGAATCCGAAACAAAGCAGAAACAATTGTAGCTAAGTAAATAAAATATAGCAGATTACTCCTCCAATTTTATAATTCTTCAAACAACAGACGATAATTTAACTGTTGAATAAAAGCGTCTGTAAACTGGGATTGAGAAAAAAGGTTAAAACAAATAGAAATAACATAATATTTAGATTTATTTGGTGGGAAAATTATATTTGCAACACATGTTCCTTCTAAATAATACAAATGAGTGTAAAGATAAAATTAAATAAACACTTATACACGTTATCCATAATATAAGAAGAGAACAATAGAAATCTGATTAATAATGTGATGTATTTTTTAAGATTATTTTTGGAAGTGTGCGTGTGTGTGTATATATCTATTAGGAGGGAAGGAGGGTCACGTCCTTTCTGTTTTAATTGGATATATATAAAATCTGAGGCTTTATCTGCTGCGTCCACACCGCACGTGGGATGTGCGGCGGGACCACCAGTACCCTTGCGTCGTCGGCTGAACTCAAACCTTCGGAAAACTGCAACGCCTTACGCTTCACAATCACCATATCTTCATTAATATTGCGCACAATAAGTTGATTAATATTTCGTACACGTGAGCAAGCCACATAAATCAAATGCGGGCAGTCAAAGAAAGACTTACAGTCCAGCACAACGGTGCCTTGGAGGGTTAAGCCCTGCACTTTATGAACCGTAAACCCGTATCCCAGCTGCAATGGCAACGCAAAGGCCTCATGACCGTAGTAAAAACTCGCAGGGGTCCCACCAAGAATGGTGTTGATCGGAGGAATCTGAACGATCTCGCCATTCAAAAGCCGCACAACCGGCAGCTTCTCAAAAAAATTCAGATTGAGCAATCGTCGGTAATAACCGCACGCGGCAACGTCCGTTCGATGAGGAAAAAGCGAAATATCCGGCAGCATAAAAGCCTCCACAACGCCAACGCTGCCGTTGGAGACCGTTTGGGAAAGGTTGCGATTGATCATCACGCGGCAGCCGAGTTTTAAACGCAGCGGGCTCAGCGTATCGGCGATCGTCCTTTCCGTCATGTCCGCGAGCGTCATGGAGACGCTCAACGGGACGAGCGATGTCGGCTCCTCTTTAAAGATTTGGAGAACTTTCCCCTCCACACGTTCCGCGAGTTTTTGGGCAATGGACCCCCATCGTTCTTTCAGCTGCACGTCAAAGATGTTTTCTTTTAAACGACCCGCCCAGCCTTGGGGTTTTACCGAGGATTTCGTCCCGTCGTTGGACATAAAATCACCCCCCCCAGAGCAGCGCCAGCGGACCAAGATGGAAGGATTGGTCGTCCGGCCCGGCATCACCACGCAGTGATGTTCACATAAAGGCCCAATTGTTGAAAAGGCATTGGTGATTTCTTCCTGAAGGATTTTCACGACCTCCTCCCTCGACGGCAGCGTAAAGGAGGAGGAGTTTCTAGGGATGAATCCGATCAATACAGAGGGCGTGAACTGCCCGATCAGGTGAAGTGGTCCACGTTGGGGGATGAAGGACATTTCGGTCGTGGTGAGCTCGTTTAACTTCTCCTCGTTAAGCTTATTGGCGTACTGGCGTCGAGGAAAAATATAGGTGACCTCCCCCGCATCCGGTGGAATCGGTCGATCTAAGGCTTCGAAGCTTTCCTTGTGGAAAATTCCATGCCGAAGTTGGTTTAACAGCGCGAGCAGCGGATCGCCCACGCTATGGCGCATCGGCGTGACTAATTTCAGCTGTATTAAATACTTAAATGTCTCACTCATGTAGATCGGGAATGCGTCGTAGAGGTTGTCGTTGGAGAGCTGTAGGAAGTCGCCGCAAACAATAACTTGCATTCCCCCGAAAGGCTCCGAGCTCATGCGGGCGATACGCGCCTCCATATCGAAGGTGTCGAACATCCGCGCCTCCAAGAGCGAGACTTCGTCGATAATCACGACATCCACCGCGCGTAGGGCGTTCATATCCCACGAATGGATCCCCTCCACGACATTGTTGGAGACGATGGGAACATTAAAGGCGTGGTGAAAAGTGCAGCCCCCGAGCTGAACGGCCGCGACGCCAGTCGAGGCGGTCATGGCCACACGCAGCCCAAACTCGCGCATTCGGTGGAAAATCGCTTTCAAAAGCATCGTCTTCCCCGTCCCCGCGCTTCCGCCGATGTAAAGATGATACCCACGCAGGGCGAGATGAAGGGTGTTGGTCTGGTCCGGCGTGAGTTTGAGTTCCACCACGTTGGGATCCGGGCTCGCGTCGAGTTTGGGCGGCATGTAGGAGGCCACTAGATCCCGGTATCGACGATGGAGTTCCTCGCCAACGGCGGTGAGGACATCTGGACGGCGCATGAGCCGCGAGAGATCCATCCGCCAACCAATGGACGTGTTCTCAAAGCTTTTGAGCATCGAAGTGAGGATCTGATCCATTATGCGGGGCATGTGGGGCTTGCATTCGGGGTCCTCCCCAGGAAGAACCCCTTCCTTCTCTGGGATTGCACCGAACGGGAGCTCCTGGCGAAAAGAATCCATCGTGGTTGGATCGGCAACGCCAACGTGATGCCTCGTCGGATTCTTGGAAGCCGTTTCGCAGATATTAATCTTCAGCCGCTTCGCGGTTTTATAGCATTGGCTAACAAAGATATTTGGGCTCCATTCGAGCTGAAGTAGGTTACTGGGGTGCTGCCGGAAACCGATTTTAAAGAGTTCAGTAGCGATTTTGGAGCTTAAGGGAATCATTTTCCCAGAAAAGGGATTAATAATCATCTCTTTAAGACACTTATCATAGACGGCGTTGATCGAGTGTAAAGGGTAGGAAGGGGTTGTATGGGTGCTCTCTGCCAATGCCGTAGTCTCTGGAGGTGTCAAATCCGTTTTCACTAGCGGCATCTTCTTAATGATGTTTGGTTCTTGAGTACCACCGATTGCTTTAAGCGGTGAGCTCACACCAGCGGTTGCTTCTTCAATGAAGTTTAAAAAGTCATCTTGAAATTCAGTGTCTGTCGTGTCCAAACTAGCTGTTGAAGAAGTCAGCTCGAGACATATGTGGTTAAAAATAGCATCGGTGATTTTGTTATCGATAGAGTCTTTGAGAAGATTATCGCGCGCTGAGACGGATCGATTCTTCGTTGAGGCCTGTCCTTCAACTACCGATTCCTTCTTTGAGGTGTTCTCCTTTCCCGTAGAATCCTCATGGCCCTCGTTCAGATCCTTTCGGTCATCCTGCCTGTCTATCGAGGCTTTATGACCCTGAGAATCCATCTCAATTGCATTTTCCACGTTTCCGGTTATAGTACCGTCTCCATTTATCTCCCCCTCATATGCATCATCACTCCCCTTACAGGCAGAACGCCGCGGCGGGTGAGGCTCCTTGGCCTGGTGTGTTTGCGAAGGGGCCTTTTCTTGAGGTGCGTTAGCCGATAATTTCGTTGCGCCTTTTCCATTTACCACAAAGGTCGTGGACGCGGCTTTGTTTTTTTTGGTTTACACGTCTTTTCTTTTGTGAAAGGCAATGAAGAGGCTGAAGGAGTGGAGGCTGCGGCCTCCATTGTCGCGCTTACGCTACTACTTCTCCCAGAACTATTATAGTAAAAGGTAAAGCACATGTAATCTGTGTGTGCGGTCAAGCTGTGGCAGCTCACCATACGATGGGCGAAGTATCGCATAAATCGCAAACAGCCTTTTTCCATGGCTGTATGAACCTTATTTGGGGGGATTCTGTTAAAATGTACCAATGGAAATCTGGAAATATTGATAGTAAAAAGCACGAATGTGAAGTAGAAGGTTAGACAACGCTTAGCGATGACCGACTCTTGACTTTATGAATTCTGGATCTATTTGAATACGATGGAAGTAATCGGAAGCAAAAGATGAATAAAGGCTTCTTAGTATTTAAAAAAAGACTAAAAGAAAAAGTCAAATGTAAAGGAAAAAGTCGATTAAATACACCAATACAGAAGTAGAATATAATTTTGAAAAAAAATGAGTGCATTACCGTTTAGAATATTTAAGTTCATACAGTAACATTAACTGTGAAAAAATAGGTAAAAAGGAGTACATACGTAGCCCTGTTCAGTGTTCTTCAATTTTTACCCACCTTCTGTCCTCTAGGGGCCACTTTACTCCTCCTTAACAACAAACCGCACAGCATCTTCCAAGCTACTCGCAAGGTAAAAACAAGCCTTTCCATGATCTTGCTGCATACTAAGCATTACCTCCTTATTTAAATAAAGAAATGGTGATATAATATTAGACCATACCGAAGGAACACACGGCCGTAGCTGACAGACCGCAGTCGTTGTCGAACCGTAGACCGATGCATTTAAAAATGCCAAACCGATATGCTGAAGAATAGCCTCGGCAGAATCTTTTGGGTTGCTAGGCATGTTGCCCACGGAAGAAGGTGTTGGATTTGGTGGAAAAGAGAAAGATGCGGCGCACATTTTCTGTATGAGATCGGTGGTTTTAAGGTTTTTCAACAGGTCTTCACGAATCACCACATAAACGCAGCCTACCGCATCAGATGGCACCCCTACGTCGGCGCAGGAGTTGCTTCCCCCTCTGGCGATGGATAAATTATCCCTATGACGCTTCTTCGCCTCCTTCTGAATGGTGCGCTCAAATCTTGCGTAGATATCTAACATATCCTCGTATTTAATGCAAAAAAAGACGCACTCAGCTAGATGGGAAGCATTCACAGAGGCAAAGTGTCTCAGCCAATTCGTATCCGCCGCTGCAAAGTCATTGGTGCAAGCCATATCGACCACATCTTCGACCGTAATAGGGTCCTCTTCCTCGAGATCAATCTCCTCAACGTGGTTTTCCTCCTCTTCTGATTCGTCAGACTCTCTCTCGATCGACTCCTTTACTACGCGCGGCTGTTTCTTGACCTTGAACCCATCATCGGAAAGCACCTCACCCCTTTCCAGGTCGTCCGGACGGCGCCTTTTGGGGGAGGTGAACTCGCCCCGGCGTGGGCAGTCGGCCTGCTCGGTTAAACACCATATCGTATGCCGCGCACAACACGAGCAATACTTCTGGCAGCTCCAGCCTTCGATCGGGTAGTCGACCTCCCCCTGTGAACCACACCCACGGCAGTGTTCGACAAAGCGCTTTTCTGAAGCCCCCGCGTGGGTGGTAGAGGGGATGGGGCACTCCCGAGCCGAAGGGGAATTCGCCCCCTCGCTTGCCCATCGCGAGGCTGTCAAATCAGGCGGCCCTTCCTTCTCCAGATGGTTTGGCGATCCCACGAGGAGCGGTCTCCCTGCGGTCGGGGGAAGCAACTCGGCCTCGTCCGCCGCCGGGGCCGGGCGGCGAAGGAGCTCCTCCAGCCGCGCCCCTTCCCCATCCCCCGCCCGCATCGCGAGGGCATCTTCCTGGGAGTACCCCATCTCCACCGCATGGCGGTACTCATCTGTGAAGTGTTTAAACCGCATAATTTTCGTGAGGGCCGTCTCGTCATCGTAACCCCCGATCGCCCCGACCTCGCGCCGGCCGGGGTCCCCTGCCCGGACGCGGCGGAGGTCAAATTTAGAGTCCTTCGACCCGATCCGCCGCGCGAGGGCCGCCAGGTCGACCCCGCGGAAGCCATTGCGGTTTTTAAAGAACAGCACGTCCTTCTGGATGGTCAAACTGCGCTGGTGCGTCGTGGGGTTCTCGTTGGAGTGGTGGGCCAAATTGCAGGCCTCGGCCAGGCTGTGCAGCGCCTTTCGGTCCTGCGCGGAGAGGTCGGCGGTCAGCTCGAGCTCCAGCCGACTGCTGTCCTCGGCAAAGAGGTGAAAGACGCGGTAGTGGTGCTCGAGAAAGGCCTGGAGATTCTCCCCAGCGTGGAGGACGTTGGGATTGGCCGAGGGCGGACGCCGCGAAGCCCAGGGCTTCCCATCCGCCTCGGGCGAGACACGGAGGTCCACGCGAGAGGCCGGGGGAGCCGCGTTGAGGGCGGAGGGGTCGACGGTGCGCTGACGAATAAGCTGCTTGTGTTGCTGCAGAAAGCTCAGCATGGTATCGCGTGAATCCTCCATTGGGCGGGGAGGTTGGGGGGG